TACAAGTAATTAGTCTTTGGTGACCAAAACCCATTTTACCCTCTCCATTTAGATTGCCAAAGGACAAAAATAACCCTCCCTTTTTTGACCTAATTGATCCACTCCTGAAAAGTTGTCTCACTTTTTTATTATTTATTGAGAGGTAGTCCGTTTGGTGGGAATCTAAGATTTCCATTGAAAAATGTATTTATACTCTCACGTTTGTTTTGCAATAAAATATCTCAGTATTTCAAAATATTCAAGTATCCTAAGATGCCCCTAAGAGAGACATGGTTTTGGATACCTTTTTTGAAATATGGGTTTTGAGCATTTGCAAGACATTCTTTTCTTTTTCTTTTTTTCTTTTTTTTTTTATTTTTGTTCTTCATTTTTTTTATCCATATATATATATTTTTTATTTTATTATTTTATTATTTAAATAAATTAATGTACTCATTGACTAATAAATAACTTCATACAGTTAAGTATATTTATATATTACATTTTTATAAAATAAAAATCAATTAAACTATATAATATCTCCATTTATTTTTAATATTTGGAAGGAATTATTATTAATATTATTTGTTATATTAAATATATAAATTTTTAAAGCATAATTTTTTAAATGACCAACATAAATTTGATATTTTTCTTTTTTAAAAAATAATATGATAAATAAATTTCACCCAATACTTCATTTATATAACTTTTTTTTGGAAAAATATTAAAGTTGAAAACTGAATTTATATTTAATATTAACTAGTTTTTAAAAAATTTATATTAATTATGAATTAATTTATTCTACATAAAATAACATACAAAATTTTATATATACAGAATTAAAATAATAAAAACAAATCTATTATATAAATGTAAATATTAAATTAATGTGTATATATATATATATATATATATATTTTGTAAGAGCATTTTTTAAACATTATATAAATTTAAAATATTTCCAAAAATAAATTATACAAAACAAATATAGCTATCCAAATATTCATGTTTATCCAAATTCTGTTACAAAATTAAGCGTAGCTATTATCTAAAATTAAATTTTGGACATCTGAATAAGTCAGACATCTACATTCTAAAAAAAATCTCTAAAAGGTTAGATTCACTCATTTTAAAAAAGGATGACCCTCCACATTTACACGATATGATATTGCTTACTTTGGACATAACTTTCACGGATTTATTTTTGGTTTCACAAAAAATGTCTAATATGAGTGGAGATGTTGTCCCTCACTTATATATGTCTATCATCTTTCCCTTATTTAAACAATGTGAGACATGTTTAAAGAAAAAACTAGATGATATTACTATTATTATTATTATTTAGATTTTTCTATTTTCATTTATAGAGGGAGAGGATGGTCATTTCACATGGGGGTGCCCCTAATTTCTAAAAGGGGAGGGCGGCTATATGTCTTTAACACAATCTGATAATAAGATATGGTAGGTTACGACTTAAGGAGTAGTAGCTTAGCGCAAAAGCAATATATATATAATTGGATCCTTCAATTTTATTTTATTTTTTTTAACCAAAATTTCATATTAGAGAAACTCCACGTGTTTTTTAATACATTTCACGTGACATCATTTACTAAACATATTATTATCCTAAGTACAAAGTTCATAAACAACATGATGGGTAATTATCACTATTTCTTAAGGTGCAATCAAAACTCAATTCAAATAAAATTATATATCAATTATGAAATTCTTTAATATAAGAGCCATCCATCTTAAACTTCTCTACTGTGAATGTAAAAAGGATGCTCAAAACAGTGGTGATTCTGTTTGATTAACTATGCTTACTTAGTTAGTAGCATTAAATTATTGACTTTGTAAATGCAACAAATAATAAATGACCGGTTACATGATACATAATTGGAGTGGATTGAAAATAGTTGTTAAGACATCTATTTTCAATTAAAATGTCGTGATTTCGAATACTGATCACTATCACATGCATGTCATTGTAAAAAAATAGTTGTTAATAATATTTTTTTTGTCTACCTTCCATCAGAAAGATAAATTAAGTGTCTTATTCATTAGTAGGCTCACATAATTTTATGGATATAACGAATGAAATTTTTATTTTAAACACATTTTTACAATAATAAAAACTAAATGCTAAATTTTGTATTACGGCTTAGGAAAATGCATAATTTGAAAATTTTGTCCTATGAATTGGACTTAAAATCAATGGGCACATTCCTAAAGAAAAACTAAAGGGACTATCTCTAGAAAAGGTTAAAGTTGGTTAGATGAACATAGGGTTGTTAAGGCTCTTAAAGTTGCATCAATAATTGATGAGGAACCATAATGATTGAATAAAATTTATATGATATATGATACTTTATATGAAGGTCAAAGTTTTCAATATAGGGAAACAAATTGAATCTATGTATAGGGTTCTCATTTGGGCTTCATCATTTAGATCTACCAATTTCTTTTTTTTCTCTTCATTCTCTTCATGCTTGCAAATCACTTCCTTTATTTAAAAACTTGAATGATGTGTTTGATAATTAATAAATTTATTCTAAAAAAATTAAGCTTGTTTACTAGGAAAAAAATAAAGAAAGACTTTTGGGAACTCATTCTTTTCATCTTTACCATTTAATTAAGATTTGAAAAATATTTTTAAAAACAGGGTATTCATAAAATAAATATTTATTTTCAAATATAGTAGGTGTTTGATCCAAAATAAGACCAAGCTCGGAATCCGTGTAGGTCGGAGTGAATGGGATGACCTTCCTGAGTTCTCGAAGAACTTGCAAAACAAGATTAGCACTCCGACGAGCAAGTTAGCTCTTATTCGATCTAACTCAATGAATGCAAATGGACTCGCGTAGCTTGTACTGAGGGCAAGCGCCTCTATTTATAGATATTGGATCCGACAGGAATTTCGACATGGGGTTAACGGTCGTCCGACCGTCCGTAAAATACGGCATGTTGTCGGATTTCAGAGACATACCTTTGGATGCGATTTAGGTCGGCTTGAACCATATGCACAAGAACATAACGGAGGATTCCAGCTCAGTTCGTGCATGGTTTCCAACCCGAAAGGATTTGAGTAAATTGTTATATTCTAAATGAATTCTAATCCAAGTACCTTTTCGATGTTGACACGTGGCAGGTGAAAATCTACCTCCAACGACGAGTATGAAATTTTACAAAAAAAAAGAAGAAGAAGAAGCAGCATAATCTCAAACTCAAATGTAATAAAAAATACATTCAGAAAAGTCACTTATTACAAAAATATAAAATGAGGTTAAATAAAAAAGGTTGTGAGATTTTAAAAAATATATATTAAAATCACGCCATATGCTATGTAGGGTAATTTCTCTCTAAAAGGAGTGGATAAAAAACAAAGCAATCGTTAGTATTTAAAAAAAAAAACATAAAACTAAAACAAAATCATCATAAAATAAGACTATAATTTTCATTTGTTTCTAAAATTTGATTAAAATTTTAAAAAGTCAATTTTTTTTGTTTTCATGAAACCAATCAAAATTTATTTTTAATTGAACTAAATAAAAACAAATCACTAATAAACAAACTTTACTTTCAAATAAAAATCTTTTTTTTAAATGATAATTTCAATAGAGTGGAAAATTTGATAATTAATAAGGATTTTTTTAATATATTGTGTGGCTTTGATCAAGCCAAACATGCATGCATGTTATGTTAGTTGAGAGGGGAAAAAAAAAACCAATTGTGATTAGTTATTCGTGTGGATATGGAAACAAAAATATGAATAATTGTACAAAAAAAAGATATGAATAATTGATGTGGTTGAAAGGGTGAGGGTTGAACAAACAGCATTTTAGGATTTTGGATTTTGGAACATAACAAAGCATGTGATTCATTTTTCACAACATTAATTGCTTTTGACCCATTCTTCTTCATTTTTCACCCATTATATAATTATTAATTTGGGACCCTCTATCAATAATTATTTCTATGTATTAATAAGAGTGGTGTGGTTTGATTTAGTTCGACCTTTTATGTAAAGAAAAATTCTTCAAAATTGAATTTGGTTTGGTTTTCTCGAGTTTGAGCCCATGGCAGGGCATCGATTTATAACACATATTTTGAACTCAAATTTCAATTATACGTTCAAAATGTTAAATTGTTTTGAGAAAAACGTAACAAAAAGTTCTATTTTTTTAATCAATGGTGCGTTTGATTTTCCCCTTATAAAAACAATCAATATTCCAACACCATAATCATTCTCTTGAAAAAAAAATCATACTAAATTAACGGGGTATCTTAGAAAAATGATATATTTCAATTTGATTTAGTTTAGAATTTAAAGCATATAAATCGAATTAGACCCAAAGAAAAAAAGTTCATTTCACCCACCCTGCTATT